TTTTTTGATGAAAGACACATTTCCAATTTGTCATGAGCCCTAGACAAGTGTTGTCATTTATATCTTTATACCATTTTGGATGGTTTGATATTTGGTTCTGTCTGAGAAGGTCTTGGGAATTTTCATTACATGTTCTTTAAGAATTAAGGAAAAGTCAGATTTATTTTCTAAGTCTGTGGTTTGTCTTTTATTCCCTTCATTGTATTTTTAAGGAAAAAATAACTTACTGATGCTTCAATATTTTATTTTTATTTTGCAGACGTTAACTGATATTTTGCAAGTTATGCCTAGAGTTTAATGTTTAGAATGGAATATAACAAGGAGACATACAAATTTTCTATTGAAATTTTTTCCCTTAAATTTTTCTCGGTAATACATATGAATTTTTTGCAAATTTCAAAGAATTGTAACGTTCCCCAAAAATGCGTTAATGGTGATGTTAATTTTATATTTCATTTATGGTTAGGGATATCGTGAACCTTTTAATGTACTTGTTCGCCATTCATATGCCTCTGCAGAGAAACATCTGTCAAATATTAGGCAGTTTTCAAAAGGAATCAATTGTTTGTTCATTTGTGGAAACCAAAGTGAAATTTTCTTTTAAGTTAGATGCTGAAATTTGGTTAGATAGCTGATATGTAAATATTCTCTGCCTTTCACAGATAGCCTTTTGATGTTGTTGCTTATTTCCCTCTTAGAAAAAAAAATTTATATTTTGTGCACTGTGATGTTCCTTTTTCTGATTTTGTTGCCTCCACTGTTAAATTTAAAATTCATGGAAAGAATCAATGTGAAGGAGATTTTGCTTTTTCTTGTAAAATCTCATAATATTTTTGTACATTTTATTTAATTCATTTTTTATTAAATTTATATAATGAATACCATAGGTTCAACTATCATTGATTTGCATATAGAGATCCAGTTATATCAAAACCTTTTATGAAAGAGATTTCTCTTTCCCTAACTTTACTCTTACTTTTCTATTGAAGTTTTTCGACCTTGTGAATCTGGAATTGTTTTGTGTTCTCTGCACTTTTTCACAATGGATGCAATCAGTAGAATTCTGTAAAACATGTACAATTATTTCTCTTTCTTTCCATCTGTCTGTGCCTGCCTGTGTTGGTGTCTCTTCTGCACACACACACACATGCACAGTTTTACTGTAGTTCAGTTAATTAGATTGAATGTATATCTAAGATAGAATAGTATTGTTTTACATTATTCATTTTAAAACATTTGCCATAATTCTGTTTTAATTGGCTTTTTTTTTACTTCATTTAAGTGCTAAACTGACAACCAATGATGTCTGTATAGTACATCACGTCACACTCCTAATCACAGTTTTCTATGAAACAGGGGTGTTATGAGCACGCAGAGAGGACTGGTGCTTCTGACCCTGTGGGTGGACAGGGTGCTGTAAGCAGCGATGAGGTGCCGTCCTCACTTACACAGTGAAATCCCTCAGACGTGACCCAACCCTTGACTTCCTAATACCTTAGAAAGCCAATGCTGGCTCAATCTCCTCACCGTGCTCTGCACCACATTTCTAACCCGCATTATCCCTGAGTTGTCTTGTTTTTAGGGGATGCAACTTTTTATATTGACAAATAAAACAAAAGAAGAGAAATCTTAACATATATGCCAGTTATGAATGGATCACTGAGTGAAATTTTCATAACAGCAGTAACATAGCCCTCACAGTTTTTGCTAAATATGACAATTTTTTTCAATTATAGGGTATATTTCATTTTCCCTACCATGCTATGACACCATTTAATAACTGCAGTAGTATATTTTAAGGGTTAACATAATAACTTATATTACATGGCATATTAATAAGCATAATCACATTCATAAGTAGTATTGCCTTGGTTCCCATTATTCATTAGCAGAAAAAGGTGGGTTTACCTCCAATAACTTTATGATGAGCTCTTGCTGTTCCTATCATGATCCATTGAATTTATGAGGTGAAACAGGTGGAGTGAAGGAACTCTGTTGCAAACAAAGTTCATAGAAACACAAAGTGCAAAAATGAGCAGTGTACTGCCTGCCTTCATCAAGACAGAGTTCTGGACCAAGGTGCCTGGGTCAGCCTCCTGTCTACACCACTTATTCCCCAATGGTCTCGGCATATCCTGTAAATTCACTTTCCACAATGTGCTACTGAGGTGTAATAACATTGCTAAGACAGCGACTGTGTGGTAGAAATGCTGCAGAACACACATAGTGTGACTCAGTAAACAAGAGTGGAGTGTGGCCCACGGTTACAGCTGTGGACTGAAGAGCATCGCTGTTGATCCTGTTCTTGGTGAGTCTCCACTTGATGAGGAAGCCCAGAAGAGGGCAGCACTGTAAAGTTCAGGAGAGGAAGAAGGCCCCACTGTTGGCTGCCACCTGTAGCTGACCTACTGTGAGGCTCAATTTTCCCCTGCCTGCTGGACCACGGTGGAGGAGTCTTCTCAAGTCTAGGTCCTGACTGATGTCCTGCTGTATCAACAGAGTCAGAAGGACCCTTTCGTACTGAACCAGCCCCTCCAGCTGCATCTCTCACCTTCTGTTAGTGAGCATTATCTGGAATATAGTCCAGGTAGCTTCATGGGATATGGATGAATACGGAAGAGATGCAATTAAACATGTTCTCAGGAGCAGCCATAAGGGATATTATGGCAGTAGGTCAAGGGCAGGGAGGGTTCAGGCCATGGCAACATTTCTGAACATCCCCACATGGCAGCCAGATTCTGCTCCCAGATGAGCTGCAGAAGAGAAGACTTGCAGTTTCATCCCTGAGACAGAGTCTGAGATTCCACCCAGTCAACCTCAAAGGTGTGGATAGATGCTTCCTTACACAGAGGATGGACTCCGGTCCTCCTGGCTCCCAGGACATGTAGGGAGGCTTCCTCAGCCCTAGTGCATTTGCCAAAGTATCCAATGTGATCTGCACACAAAGGAAAACATGAGGACCCCATTGGAGTCCAAGTACTTTACCAAGGAATACAAGGTCCTCTACCATGTCCCCTGAGCTCTGAGCAGGTAGAATGCTATGTACAGTGTCCTGAAAAGAATGATTATAGGTCCCCATAGAGACAACTCACTACTGGAGAAATTCTGACTTGAAGCCCTATCAATGGCCAAAATTCATAAAGAGGAATATGTTTAGAGTGAGTTTTTATACATGTAAGCTGTCCTTCAGTATTGTGGCTTAAAAACAGAGATACATTTAGGGCCAATTAACAAAAGTAAATGGGTCCCACCACGCAAAGGATTTTACTTGCAAATGGAATGAGGTTAACATTTAAATGAGATCAGTATTTTTTTTTTCTTTTCGGTATCGGGGGTTGAACTCTTGTCCTTGTGCTTGTGAGGCAGGCAGCAGAAACAATGAGCAAAATCCTTGGCCCTAAACAAGATCAGTATCAATGAATGAATATTATTTTGTTATTCCTGAGAGAAAGAACAGAGGATTTTCAGGTTTGACCCTAAAGATGCTCTGGAAATGTTTAAATTAATCCAGACCAGTGTGAGGAAGCTACGGAAGAGGGCAAAGAGGAAAAACAGGATTCGATTCCTGAGTCCAGGACAACTAAACCATTGGTGTGCGCTGCTTTCTGGAAAGCTGAAAGCCAGGAAGCTTCTCAGTTACACGTGATTCAACAGCTGAGTCCTTTTAGGGGTCAGAGAAACTGTGGCACACGTGCTACAGAGCACACAAATCCCTTTCCATAGGCGTGGGAACCACATGGCCCTAGGATGCCAAGACCCCAGCCAGCCCCAGCAGCTGAGCATGGAGTTTCAATTGCAGTGGTGGCGTTTTGCATTAACGAAGTGGGTTTGGGCTGCATGTTAGACATGTTTCTACTTTGCTTACACAAGCGAGAGACATCGTAGCCTATTTAAATTCACAGTCCTGGTTTATTTCACTCAGTTTTATTTCTGAGGTGCATCCATTTCCCTACTAATGTCTCAGACTTCTCATTTTTCATAGGCAAATAGTATTCCATTATATATCTATCTCTCTCTATATATATGTCTATATATCTCTCTCTTTATATATATCTCATAGCTTCTTTATCCAGGGTCTGTTAATGAGTATGCAGGATGCTTCCACGATTAAGCTACGATAAATTATGCTGCTATAAACATAGTAATGTATGTATCGCTCTAGTGTGATGACTTGTTTTGAAGATCTAAGCACAATGGAAATTAGTTTGGAGATTCCTGAAAAAAAAAAACTAGAGGATGGCATTGCATTTGACCTGCTCTTTCTCCTCTAAGTATCTTCCCAAAGCAGTTATAGAGTCTTACCACAGTGACGTGTATAACAGAAGATGCATAGTTTTGTTTATATAAAGGATTTAATAAAAAATGCCTGAGATCAATGTCTAACATAGACAAAAAGTCGGCAATAAGACACTTACAATCAGAATGCAGACAAAGATCAAGAAGATAATATGCCCTGACAAGGTAGGATTCATTACAGTGATGCGGGGATAGTATAACACATATCATATGATAAATATAATTTGCTGCATAAGCAGAAGCACAGGCAAAACCCACATTATCATTTCAATAGATGCTGAAAAAGGTTTGACGAAATCCAGCAGAAATTTATGACAAGAGCAATAGGGAAACTAGGAATAGAGGGTCTTTATTTTTATAGGGAGCTATTAAGGCCCAGGGCAGTTTGAAAGCCTGTCTCAGGTGATCTCCCTTCAAGGCACAGCACACAAATGCTGTCTTAGGACCTTTAGCAGGGAACTCAAACTCTGTCATCTCTGTATCCACCTGCTCTGCCAGCAGGGAGGAGCTGAGATTTACTGGTGTCCCTTGTGCTGTTCTGAAACACCCAGTGCTATCTCCTCTCAGAATCATATGCATCTTTCTTTTGCACATAGAGAAACCCAGGGGCATTAACAGGCACAGGGAGCACGATGAACTGCATCCCCTCATATAAGAAGAAACTTCCTCCATATGCAAATCCATCTACCAGTTCTATAGTCAAATTCCCCTCCCGAGCTGTGGAGCTCACTGCTCTTTCCTCAGAGAGGGCTGAGGTGTCTGGGGAAGGTTGGCTGTGGTCCAGAAGATGACGCTGTTGGGTCTTCTCCTGTGTCTGGTGACAGTTCTTCAAGGTGAGTGTCCCACACTTTAGACACAGGGTACACAAGGAGTTTGTCACTGCAAGTAACTGACAAGGACTGAATGTTCTTCCACAGGTGTCCTGTCTCAGGTGCAGCTGCAGGAGTCGGGGCCTGGCCTGGTGAAGCCCGCGGAGACCCTGACCCTTACCTGCAAAGTCACTGGTTACTCCATCACCAGTGGTTACTGGTGGAGCTGGATCCGTCAGCCCCCAGGAAAGAGCCTGGAGTGGATGGGGGGCATATATTCCAGTGGTAGCACTAGCTACAGCCCATCCCTCAAGAGCCGCATGTCCATCTCCAGAGACACGGGCAAGAATGAATTCTCTCTGCAGCTGAACTCTGTTACGGCGGAGGACACAGCCGTGTATTACTGTGCAAGAGACACAGTGATCTGATACAAATGGGAGCCCAGACAAAAACCTCCCTGTGGGCAAACTCGGGAGCAGCAGGGGGCGCTCGGCACACACTGGTGTAGGGAGTCATTTTAACAGCAGATGTGGAGAAAAGCCTGGAGAGTTTTCTCTCCAGGTGATCAACATCTCAATCTGTAGCCCAGATACAGGGATTCCAGGACCTTTTATGGCTCGAATCTACAGTGTTGTACTTTCACGGAATGAGACTTTTATATTTCATGTCCTCCCCTGAATGAAATATGAAATAAGAGATTAAAGAAACATAGAGTTATATTCAATAACATATTTCATATTGGACATTTAACTTTTTATTTTCATTGAACAGAAAACTTCTTAAAATTTATTATTTTCTTGTTAAAGAAATGGAATGAAGCACACGCAGTGGGAACAATCCTTTGAACACATGTATCATGGCGTATAATCCTCAAAATATACAGGTAACTTTGATTTATACGAGGAAGCTCAGCAGCTACTGTGCACAGGCCCTGGGTCAGGACCCAAGGGGGCTACAGCAGGGGCTCCCTGGCTGGGCCCACGGTCTCCTCTCCAGTGGGCACATCCACTCCTAGGCCCTACTCTCCTCTGCTCCTGAGCACCAGTGCCCTTCAGAACACCGGATGCTGACAGCACAGCTGTCTCACTCCTTTGCCACTGTCATTTTAATGCTGAGAAAGTAAAGGATCTTACACAGGTGTGAAACCTGTGGTTTTGACATAATTATTGAGCTCTCCCTTCTGTGTGCTGTGGGTGTTATTACGGCCGTCTCCGCAAAACAGCATTTGCGATTACAGGGCCTCCAACTTCTGGGAGCAGGGGCCTCCCTGCCTTGGGATGTGAGAGTGCAGTTTCTTCCAGTTAGAGTCACAAATTCGAGATGTTGTATAGCGGAATGGCTGTGTTTGTTTCAGGTTTATATGTGCGAAGGTTGGCATGGAAACATCGACCAATCATCTCTTTGCAGATCAGTGCTCCATAAACGGATAGATTGGCAGTCAGACTTCACATGGGACTGGAGGAGATAACTATGCAAACCACATCATAAAGGTGAGATTTACTAATAGTGAAATCATGATCAATAATACTTAAAAGGACCTGGCAAAGGAAGCCAGTTGGGGGATCTCCAGGTACACGCAATCAGGGTTGAGAGAATCTTACGAAATTCAAGAACTGCTGTGCAATCTCAGTGCCCTCTCTGTGCACATTTGGGCTGATGAGGAGACCTGAGCTCTTCCTGAGGGAATGACCTTGCTGTTTCCAGAGTGTCTGAATGGGTCGTGGTAGGTTACGGGTGTCAAATCGAGCCCCCATGTGAGCTGATCCACTGGGGACACAGAATCCACTGACATGGTTTAGATCATGAAGATGCCCGTAAGAGGCGTCTGTCTTCTTCGCTGACACTGTTTATCTCTACTCGCTCATCCCATCCTGGCGCCACTGCCAGAAGCACTGCATGAGCCCAGTGTGCAAACCGCCCACAGGAGAACCCAGCGAGGAGCTCAGAGACCAAGTTGTATGGTGACTCAGAGAGCAGGGCAGATTTGGGGACAGGAGCACGCACTCCAGGGCTCCAGGTTACTAAGGCTTCAATGGCATCAGAGAGACAAAGGACAGGGAAGAATAATGAGCCTCTGCTGATGTATAATTGTATGATCTGAGGAGATCCTGAGGGACATAACCTGCAGATGACTTAGGAAACATTGAAGTGTGCAGGGCATATTCATTGTTAAATTAAACTCCCTAAAGATATCACCGATTACCTTTATTCTTATAATTCATGTAGCTTTAATGGGAAGTACAAAGATGACTCCATACATCTCTAAGTAACTTACAGATATTCAAACAGGTGTCTTTCAAATATCAAATTGTCACCAACATCATCTAAGAATAAAGAAACTAATTTTATCACCATGAGGTGGAGGTGTCTCATGCAGAAATAAACTTTTGTGTTCAGAAAATGAAGTCCTTCCTGTTCATCTCCACAGAGTGAGGGAACAAAGCTCTCATTGCAGGGCCACTGCAGGAGACCTGGGTCCCTCTCTGCCCAGCCCCATGTGGAGCCCTGCACTGAGGGGAGGATGGCGGAGGGGCAGCCAGCTGGTGTCAGAGCAGTGTTTGTGGTCTCAAGTGACTTTCACTTAAGTGGGCTTGTGAGACTTGTGTCTGAACTTCCACCATGGGATTTGTATATTTGGGGTTTTGGAAGTACCCCTTGATGATTTTTATGAATGTAAGCATTAGCTAATGTTCCAATATGTGCCCTCCCAGTGCCCCTTGAATATCCAATGATATGTAAAAGCCTTCCCAGTATCCCTTAATCATCCAATGATAAGTGAGAGCTAAAAATAGAAACGATATATGCAAAAAGTATCCTTAATCCTATATGATCCCGCTTCAAAAATGGATCTGTGCTCTCGGTCTGAAGCCGCTGTGATAGTGACACGTGAGAGTCCAGGCTCGAGCTTGCAATAAACTTCTCTTGCAATTGGATCAGACCTGACTCCTTGGTGGTCTTTGGGGACTTTGCGACTTGGGCATAACAGCCACCAGCTCCTGCACTTCCTGGATCGTCTTCTTCATTTGAGGCCACATCATGGGTTTCTCCACCTTTGTGGTTCTCCATGCCAAGGGGTTTCTTCCTGGGCCATCGAAAAGGAGGCTCGAGGTAGTGAGTGTGGAGGTGAAGGCTCCACCGTGGGACTGGAGTTGTCCTCTCTCCTCGGTCACACATTCCAGGATGGCAGCCCAAGCACTGTTCTATTATCTGTTTTTCAAAGTTAATTTGATTGGTACCTTGAAGGTATGCAATAGAATGACTTTCACGAACCGAAATATGTGTGTTTACATAATCTGTCCCTGTTGTTATTTTTCCCCCATTGCCCTAACCTCCCTTCAACCCCTTCATTCCTGCCTATCTACAAAATCTTTGTTTCCATTTTTTGTTTTTCCCATATTAATTCCATTCCCATCTTTTTTCCCTTCCCCTCTCCCCTTTTTTTCTTCTTTCACAATATCTATTATGCCTTTTAGTCCTTATTTCAGTTTCTCACACTACAGAAACTATTAGGTATTTTTACATATGTGTCCCATTTACTTCCCTTAAGAATATGGCATCAATGTCCATCCATTTAGCTATAAATGTCTCTAGATATTCCTTCTTTACAGCTGTATAGTACTCCATTTATTTCTTTAAAAAGGATTTTCTTTATGCAGTCTCAAGCTAATGGGCGATTGAGCTGCTGCCCAGTTTTAGCTATCACAGATGGTGCTGCTATGAACATGGATGCCATATATCACTGTCGTATAATGCTTCTCATTGTGTGGGAAAGGTACCCAGCAGAGAACAACCTTTGTCAGTTGTGAACTCCAATCCTACTACTTTGAGGTATCACCATACTGATTTCCACAGTGGTTGCACCAGCCTGCACTCCCAGCAGCAGAGGATCAGGGTTCCTCTTTCCCCACAGTCCCATGAGCGTTTGTTATTGGTTGATTTCATGATAGCAGCATTTCTTTCTGGGGTGAGGTGGAATCTCAGTGTTGTTTTCATCTGCATCTCTTGAATAATCAGTGATGTTGACAACTTTTTCATGTGTTTATTTGCTATTTGTACTTCTTTGTTTGAGAACTGTCTGTTAATTTCAGATGCCCATTTTTTAATTGGGTGTTTCAATTTGGGTTGCCTACTTTTTTTAAAGTTCTTTTATATTCCAGATAGTAGACTTTTGTCTGAGGAACAGCTGGTGAAAAGTTTTTCCCACATTGTGGGCACTCTCTTCACACTATGGGTTGTTTTTCCTGCTGTGTAGATGCTTTTCAGTAAGAAGACATCCCACTTGTTCATTGTGCTGCTTCATGGGTGACTGAGGTTATGTTCATGAAATCTTTTGCTACATCCATATTTTCAAGAGTTCTACCTAACCTCTCTTCCAGGGGGTTTAGTATTTCTGTTTTAATATTTAGATCTTTAATCCATTTTGATTTTAATTTAGTGCATGATGAGAGATAGAGATCTAGTTTTAATCTGTGGCAATTTGAAACCCAGTTTTTCCATCACCATTTATGAAAGATGCTATCATTCCCCCAGCGAGGGTGTTTGGCTTCTTTGCCAAAGATGAAGTGGTTCTAGAGTTCTTTCTGCATCTTCTACTCTGTTCCACTGGTCCTCAGGTCTGTTTTATTGCCAGTATCATGCTATTTTTATGACAGTACCTTTGCAGTACACTTTAAAATTGGCGATTGTGATTCCCCCTACCTTATCTTTATTGCCTAAAATTACTTTTGCTATTGCAGGTCTCTGCTTGTAACAAATAATGTTTGGATTATTTCTCAAGGTCTGTGAAGTATGCTGTTGGGATTTCAATTGGGATGGCATTGAATCTATAGGGCAGCTTTTGAGGTATGGCCATTTTCAATATGGTGATTCTTCCTACCCAGGAGCAAGCGATGCCTTTCCATTTTCTCGTAGTGTCTTCAACTTCTTTTTTCAGACTGTTGTTGTTTTCAAAATAGAGATTTTTGATTTCTTTCATTTTATTGATTCCTAGGTGTTTCATTTTTTGGATGCTATTCTGAAAGGAGTTGTTTTACCAGTTCCTCTCTCAGTGAGTCTGTTGTTCATGCACAGGAAAGTTATTGACTTTTATTGCTGTGGTTATATCTATCTACTCTATTGAATTTGACAATGAAGTCCAGAAGCTCTTGGGTGGAGTTCTTGGGTCTTTTATATAGAGAATCACAGCAGTTCCTTGAAGGCCTCCAGGTTGAAGCCACCACTGTGCAAGATCTTCATCTGCTTGAGAGTGGCGCCCTGGCCTGAGTTATGTGTATCCAGCAGGAGGCGCTTGAACTCAGGGCGCTGCAGCTGGCTTTCTGTGTGCGGTGTGAATTGATTCTTTGGGACCTCTGGGCTCACTCGTTCTCCTCTGAGCATTGCTGACCTCCCATGGCCTGGGAGCAGCATCCCCAGATATGGAGCACAGGTG